CCCTGAGAACATGCAGCCCCCACTGACCAAGACTCCCGCCCCTCACCATGAAGAGCTCCATCTAATTAACCTTCGGCCCTGACGCTGACCCCACACCCGCCCGCCCGGACTTGCCCGCCCCTCACTAACCCCCTGGAACTGACCCCAACCTTCCCACCCTGTGCCTGACCTCCTCCCAGCCCTCCCGACTGACCCATCCTCACCCCCATCAACGCCTCTCTCCCTGCCTCTCCTTTAAAAACTCCACCAAGAAAACGGGGTACACTCCCAGGATGCTCTTGGGGTACAAGATGGGATGAGAAAGACTCAGCCACCCAGTCAGTCACTTGTGAATTGGCCAGCTCACAAAGCACCCGCAGGTCCCGCATGGGACGTCAGTGAGCAAAGGGGCCTCCCTCCCCGGGAGCCCCGTGTGGGAGAGGCAGACGAAGTCGGAGAAAGTCGCTGTCGAGGTGACACGTGGAGGTGGCGGTGACACAGGTCGTACATACAGTCAGAGGGACGGGCAAAGCCCGGGGTGGGGGGAGCCACAGGAAAGGCTTTCTGAAGGAACTGATACTTGATCGGGAAGTGGTCCTGTTAGACCGGTGGTTCTCAACCTTCTGGCCCTTTAAATACAGTTCCTCGTGTTGTGACCCAACCATAAAATTATTTTCGTTGCTACTTCATAACTGTCATGTTGCTACTGTTATGAATCGTCATGTAAATATCTGATATGCAGGATGGTCTTAGGCGACCCCTGGGAAAGGGTCGTTCGACCGCCAAAGGGGTCGCGACCCACAGGTTGAGAACCACTGCGTTAGACTGTAGTGACCGGAGCTACGAGCACAGCAAAGCCAGGGACCGACCGGGCGAGGAGGTGGCCACTGGGCAGGAAGGCAGGGCTGGCTGAGGGCCGGGACCTTGTTCAGGGACCCGGGAGAGCAGCTCAGCTCTGGGCCCTTGGGGATCGACTGGCGGTCAGGCCGGGGAGGAGACCAGGACAAGGGTCCACGGGGACAGGACAAGTTCTGAACCCGGTCAGGGCTGTGGGATAGAAGGGAAGGGAGGAGGCAGAGAGAGGGAACGGGAGGAAAAGGGCTGGGACTGGCCTGGGAGCTCAGGGGACACAGTGAAGAGAGAGTTGTTAGTCAGTGAATCATTCAGCAAACACAGCCAAGCACTTACCACACGCCCGGAATGTAACACACCTTCTGTAACCCACACACCGCCCTGGAGAACCCCTGGCTCCACTCACCCACCCATTCATTCATTTCACAACTGACTCCTAGGACACCGAAACCTAGTATTGCACAAGGCTAGAATCTGCCCTCGGAGTTCATACTCTAGAGCGCAGGTTGGCACACTCCAGCCCAGGGGCCAGCTCTGTCAGCCAGCTGGTTTGTAAATAAAACTTTATTGGATCATAGCCACTGTTCTGCTCCAAGAGTAGACTAGAATAGTTAGGACAGAGACCGTGTGGCTCACAGAGCCGAAAATGTTTACTACCTGGCCCTTTAAGGAAAAGTCTGATGCCCCCTGATTGGAGGAAGCAGAAATTAAACAAGTTAAAAAAAAAAAGTCTCCGGTTTGTGGAAGGGCTTTTGGAGGCGACATGAAACCTACAGGTGAAAAGGGCCCGCCAGGCAGAAGGAAGAGCGAGTGCAAAGGTCCTGAGGTCCCAAGTGGGCGAGCTTGGTGCTGAAAGGAATAAATAGCCAGGAGGGAAGTGAGGCCGGAGCTGAGCAGCCGAAGGGAGAGGGTGCGGACCGCCTGTGCAGAAGGAGCAGGAGGGTGTTGGCCACGGTGAGGGCTGGACTGGTCTTAAGAGTGAGGAGGAGCCACCTGAGGGAATGTGACCCATCACTTCCTCGTTCCACAAACACCTGTGGACGCTTCCTTAGAAATAGAGCAGTGATGGTGAACCTTTTGAGCTCGGCGTGTCAGCATTTTGAAAAACCCTAACTTAACTCTGGTGCCGTGTCACATATAGACATTTTTTGATATTTGCAACCATAGTAAAACAAAGATTTATATTTTTGATATTTATTTTATATATTTAAATGCCATTTAACAAAGAAAAATCAACCAAAAAAATGAGTTCGCATGTCATAGGTTCGCCATCACTGAAATAGAGACACATCCCAAATCCCCGCCGCAGCCTAAGGAGTGGGACTTGGGGAGCCTCCAGGACGGCCTTGGCTAAGCCCCCTTGTTTCACACAAGTTCAGGGAGGGCCATGACTGACCCAGGCCACACAGCAGAGGGGAGGGCAGCCCAGGCTTGCGGGGTCAGACAGAACCACGAGGGGGCTGTCTGGCTCTTGTTCCCTCCCTCCACCTCCTTGTTGCACCCCGCCCCCCCCATCTTCATTGTCATCTCATCACCAGCCCCTCCCCGCTCCCATCTCACCCCTCTCCCTGCTTGCACCCAGTCCCCTTCCCACTCTTTGTCCCCCTCCTTCAGGTCTGGATGGGCCCCTTGGAACTGAGGGGCAGAGGGAGCGGGGGTTGGGAATGTGGGTGAGGGAGGGCTGGGGTGGGCTGGGGGTGGGAGGTCTCTGCTTCTCTTGCCTCTGATGCCAAAACCCATTCATTGAACTCAAATAATGGCTGGAGCTGATGGGGCTGACTGGACCCTGGACCCCCCTTCCTCCCCCCCCCCCCCCCGCCCCCCCTCCCCCTTTGCCCCCCCCCCCCCCCCCCCCGACACACACACACACACACACACACCCAACCTCACCTCTGGTAACTACCATCTATTCTCTGTGTCATACAGAGCATTTTTTGTTTGCTTAATGATTAGGTGAATGCTAGCTATTTTAATCTGTATCCCAAATGATGAGTATGGATTTTTGAAGTTTAAGAATGTTTCAGGAATTTGTCCCAGAACACTAGCTATCTTTTCTGTTCTGATGCATATGTTAACTGGAAAAATAAAATTATATGAATGGGTTAGATATTTTTAGCTTCTGATGGGTGGTTATGAATTATAGATTACTTTAACACAAGCTACACTGGAGTAGGAGTCAAAATAATGAGTTCAAGTTCTGATTCTTCTGTTTTCTAGACACATGAGTTGAGGCAAGTCACCTACCCTCTCTGCCCTTGTTGCCCACCATGTCACCCCGGAAGCTCCTCCCATATTTGATGTCTCTGGCCGCCCCATTTCACTGCTCCCCTCCCCCGGAAAGCACTAGATAGGAGGAAGAGATCCGGCTTTTCTCCGACCCCCAACAGTGAGGCCATGTTGGGGGGGTTCCCCGCGACCACCCTCCCCCGCCATGACTCTGTGTATTTCTGTCCCCAGCTCTTGTCACCGCCTGAGGCCTCGAGAGACCCTCGGCCCCCCCTGCCCCTTCCCCCCAGGTTAGCAATGGGGAACGGCTGGGAAGGGGTGTCCCCGAGGCAGTGGGCTCCCGACCCCTCAGGCTCTCTCTCCTGCGGTCTAGACACCGGCGCCCAGACAGGCCCCTGGCTCTGCCTGGAAAAGCCCCAGGCGCCCCCCAGCGCCCGAGGACCACCCACCCGCTCCCTGGCCTTAGACCCCATCCCAGGTCCCGGACTGTCGGGACAGTTAGGACCTTCCGGGCAGAAGGTTCCCATTGAAACTCCCTGAGCCCCTACCGTCCCTGCCACGCCTCCGGGTGAGCCAGCCTCGCCCCTCCGA